GAGAGAGAGAGAGAGAGAGTTGTGAAAGACCGACTGAGCAAGGGTTGTGTTCCGGTGTTGCAGGATGCACGCGGTTGGATTGCACTCGGCGCTGGCCATCAAGCGTCAGAGAAAGCGGCGGGACGAGCAGCGTCGTGCCCGCGAGCGGCGCTATAGCGCGCAATCGGGCGAGAGCGGTCTCACGTCGCCGAGGGCATCTACCGGTTCTTTGGATCATCAGCCGAGGCAGCACAAGGCCGGTCACTCGAGCCGCTCGGCCGGTCAGGGCATGCTGGACTCGAAGGTGGTCACGTCGGTGGGGATGCTGCACATAGGCGTGGTTTTCCTCGTTTTCGGCGCTTTCCTTCTAATGAGCGGCCTTCTGCCGGGCGATCTCGCCCGTTGGGGCACCAAAGCGTCGGGCGGTTGGTGGAACGAGCTGGTCGCGATAGGCCTGTTCGCCATCGTGTTCGGCATATTCCTGATCGTGTTGAACAAAGTGATCGCCAAGAGGGAGGAGAACGACCTGGAGGAGTACGTGCAGAGGCAGTTGACCAGGTCCAAGTCCGGGCACAGATTGGAGAGGGACGCGGAGACGGGCGGGTTGACCACGAAACAGGCGAAGAGGGCGAAGCAGATGCTACAACAGCAGCAGGAGCAACAGCAGATCGACTCGATCGAGACGCACAACGAGAAAAGCCCCGACTCTCCGCCCAGGAGCCCACCGCCCGCTTACTCCCCCCCAGCGATGAACGGCGATCACCAGGCCGTCCAGTCGTCCCTCTACCTCGAACAGATCACCGAGGAGGAGATCATCAGCGACCGTGTCGAAACCTCGACCACCAACAGCTTGAGCCCCGGCTCGCCCAGCGAGACCAGGGAATTGTTGCAGAATCCTCGTTACTCGAAGCAGAATGGAAACCCTCAGCAGATTCATCGGTCGCTCTACGTGTCCAGGATCTAAACACTTTGGAGGGGGAGGGGTATGGTTGGGAGCCTGGTCTGGCTCGAACGTTTAATTAAAGGATCGCGAGGATCTCGTAGGTATTGAGAGGGGAGAGGATCGTCGTGGCGGTTTATGGAGACGATGACGAAGTATTTCGAAGAAAAAGAAAAAAAGAAGATTGGAATCGTCCGATTAGTCGGTTTGAAACGTGATTATCGATTATCGGTAATATAGATCGGTTATCGATTGTTTTCTTTTTTTAAACTTGTCGAGATATCGTCGAGATCTCTCGACAGTAGTAGCCGTTTAAAACATAACCTTTATCCGAGAATTTCGCGTTTAATTTAACTCTCCACGCGAGTTTCCAATTAAGAATGCAGTCTCTCGCAAAGGCAGAAATTGGCCTTAATTATTCGCAGAAGAAAACTTGATTGAAGTGGGACCAAAGTTTCTTTGCAAACGTTACATTTCGTTTAAAATCGATGCAAAGCAAATACAAAAAAAATCCTTGATCTTTAAAAAATTCGAATATCAATATCGCCATCGATTAATACCGATGATCGATAAATCGACACGGTTCACATTTATCTCGAGAGATCCTAGATGGCGGAATCAAAATCTGCCATGAAGCGAGCAATTACGGATTGACGATTTCATCTCGACGAAAGTGTAAATCCGCGTAGTCGAACATTTTCTCTGCGCTAATTTCGATCCGAGCCCATTTTATCTTCTCGAAAGTTTCGCATTGTCGCAACAGTCTCTCCGCGTTTTATTCATTATTCCATTCGAGGGTCGAACTCGACCAATTTCCTGCGAGGAAATCCGATAGAAACGATATCGAGTCCCTCTCGTCGAGGGCAACAAGTCCCTTTTGTGCTTGTTACGTTAGGAAAAGTTGGAGAGGATCCTTGGGCACCCGGTAGAAAATCAATTTCCTCGACGAATTACACCGGCATTGTCGATTATGAGAGAAACTCGATCGAGATCTCGATAATTTCAGAACCGTGGAAATAATACGACGATACGCGTATACGATTTTCTTCTTTTCTTTTTTTTTTATTTTTTTTTTTAAACGCTTTGCAAAGTTTAAAGGTGAGTTTATGCTTGTTAAGTATCGTGGCGAGGAAATGAAAAAGATCGAAGAGGGGAAAAGTCGATTTAAGAGGCAGCAAAGAATTGAGAGACGGGTAAAATTTAGACGGTTTACTTGAAGCAACGAGAGAAGTATTTGTGAGTTTTATATGGGTAAGTAAATTGATACTTTCATCTTGTCGAAATAATACATCGAGTGTATTAAAAATTAAAAATTTAATCCTTTATTTTTTTTTTCAAACTAATAACACGATGTTAAATTAAATTTCTAGAAGATAATATTTAATATTACTCTCGAAATGCAATGGATCACTCGGTATGACGCGAAGTACGAACGAGTGTAAACCCACCTTAAGAATATGAAATCTTCCGTGACGATATTCGAAACTTGCGATAAGATTGTAAGCAAGAAATGGCAAAACTTTTCGTTCGTTAAAGCTTCCGGTTAGAAATGACGATTTCTTTCTTTCTTTCTTTTTTTTCTCTCTCTCTATCTCGAGAAAGAGAGAGAGAAAAAACTTTAGAGGAAGCTCGTAAAAGTTCTCGACCGAAACCGATTTAATCCTCGTTAAGAGTAAGCGCGATAGAAGAATCGATCGAGGTAGAAGAAGAAATTTTTCGAGTTCTCGTGCCTCGATATATCGCGTGGAAATAATATCGAGGATATTCCAGGATCGTTCGTGGATTTACCGCGTGCAAAGGAAGTACGCCTATAAGACGAGAAAATATGCGGAATGAAATATTGGAAAGTATTGGAGAAGGGGGGAGAGGGGAGGGGGTCGTTGAAAGAGGAAGTTGAATCGACTTGAAAAAGTATAAAAAAAGAAAAAAAAATCATGCACTCAAGGACCAAGATATAATTAATTCTCGAGGTAGACAATTTTAAGGAAGATTATCGCGGGAAATTGCGGATTCTGAATGAAGGGAATGTATGACGAAAGAGGATGGTTACAAGATAATCGAAATAATGATGATGATGATTTCTCTTCGGTGGAATATCAGTGGAATATCAATGGATTAAATTCATCCGGTTAATCATAATCTATATTCTGAATTCGATTTAATAGACTCGTAAGAAATGATACGAAGATCTCTTCGACGCCAACATATTCATTACTGTTTAAAATGTAAATTCTTAAGAGGAAACGGACCCGATCTCGGGACTAAAGGGGGTCCTTTTTTTTCGGGGCTCTCGATTTAATTTTAGCTCGATTCATTCGAGATGAATAATGTCCTTTAACGTTTAAGAAAGTTTAAGAAAGAAAGTGTCCCGGTATCGATGGTCTGATTATCAGTCATTGTACGTATTCAGGTTTATACGTGATTTGATGTGGAAGGGCAAAAAAAAAAGATCGTTTTGAAAAAAATAGTTTCCGCTTCGCAATTTTTAATTAAAAATTTCTTTACCCGAGTTTCATTCTTATCGGATTTTATATAATCGAATAATGGCATTTTTAACGTGCTTCTAAATTTAATAATAACTTTTTTTTTTTTACCTCGTATCGTATAATATCTTGGTAATTTTATTTCATCATCTCTTTCCCTCTCTCTTTCTGCGTCTGACACGTTTTATCTTTTTCCACTTTTGTTTTTCGAAGTATTTTTCTCGTTCTTGCGTAATATTTCCATTTTTATAAATACGAATGAAATATGCGTTTCATCATTTTTCTTTTTTTTTTTTTTTTTCCCCGATTTATTCTTTTTCTCGATTTATCGAATTCGCAACACAATATGAATTAATTCGATTTTTGTCGTGTCTGTGTGTACGAAACAATTGTACAAATTGTCTTTCTTTTATTATTTATTTATTTCTTTTTTTTTTTTTTTACCAAATCTCGTGTAATCAATTAGCAAAAAACGATAATTAACGAGAGGATATACAATCTGTCGCTCTTCGATTCTTTAAACTGTATATTGCGTTTCAATTTTGCATTCGATTGCATTACAATCAAACATTCCATTCGAGTTAACTTGCAAAGTCTCTAATAGCTTTAACTCGTCGAATTGATTTTTCACGATTTATTCGCGAAAGAATAATCGAATTTGTAGGGAGTTTAAATAGAATATCTAGTCGAGAGAAAATATTTGATCGTGAAGAATATCTTGAATCTCGAGCAATTTTTGATTTTGAAAAAATTTTAGTCCAGAAATAATACAAATTTTTCATTGCGTTTTAAAATTTTTTCTTTTTCTTTTTTTTTTTCTTCTCTCTCTCTCCTTTCCTAAAAATGTCAGTCGCTTAAGGCCACTAAGACGCTTTTTCCATCACGTTATTTACTATCTACTTGTTTACTTGTCTCTCCTCTACGCCTTATGAAGAAACGAGATTTCGCCTTAAAGAGCGACTAAGGATACAGAGTAAGAGTATATACTTAACACATTCGAGGTCAGTGAGTACACAATATTTCGCAGGATGATACAGAAACTTTATAAAATATAAAAATATCTTGCTGAACGAAGTAAAATAATCTCGAGTAGTGGATCTTATTTTTCGTGTATTTTTTTTATTTGAACAAAAATGTTATTACCAATGTAAAGCAGATTAATTTTAAAGAAAAGTAAATAACACGCAAAGATAATAAAACGAAAATTTTTCTTTTCTATTGTTTACATTGGTATTTTATAACTTTATAACAGACTGTATGTTATTATTACATTCCAATTCAGTGAGTTTTACATTACAAAATCCGTTAAATAAGAAAGTACAAAGTTATATTAAGTACAAATAATAACACCTACTTTTAATAGATTAAAATTCACCCTTTGCCTTATAACATCGAATTACATTCGATATATTATCATTATCGATCAATTTCAACAGATAGAAATTAACCTCTTAAGTACGACCATCGAATAAACACACACGACCGATCGTCGACTTCAGTATTCGGTATAACGCGGCAGGTGAATGTATCGAAGAGAGAGTTAAATTTAAAGAATATATTTCTAGCGATAAGCACAAGCCAAAATAAAAAACCAAATGATGGTCAAGACCTTTGGAATTTATCCTAAAATCCTGACCTCGAATTGGTTAATATCCAAAGTGAGAGAAAAGACTGTGAGAAAAAAAAAGAGTATATGTACATATAATCTACGATGTGTTGCAACCAAGTTGAGACATCTAGTGTACTCGTAAAATGGGCGTGGTTTCTGGGGCGTATTACGTCCGTGGCGTGAGAAGTGACCTTGAACGATCAAAACATTTGGGAAGCACGACGACTAAAAATCGAAAATTGCGTCCAGATTCGAACATCTTATATACATCTTGACATTTTGTTCGATACTATCCTCGTAGGTAGTCTCGAATTAATTGCATTTACGCAATGTGTATTACGTGCCGCTTTTCTCTCATGAAACGAAATAAATGATCGAGACACGAAGTCGTACAGGTTATAATAACTTAACCAATAATTAGCGGAGGCAGCTTGAAATCTTTTTCGACGTCCCTGTTTTATCGATTCGCGGGACGTCCAGTGTCCAGTGACTGATAGCGCTGTACTTACTATTAAGATAGTTCGTAATTTTAATATGCTATATTCCATTTTATAATACCTTGGGTATTTAATTACATATGCTAGCTTTAGACGGCGAGATTTTCGAAAACGACTCGATTACACGACTCGATGTTTACTTTCGTGTCGGCTGATCGATCGGTAATTGCATTATCGATAAAGTTGTGAGTGAAATGGTTAGATTCTCGAATAGAATTATCCAACTTTTATAGCGTTATATTGAAAATAATATTAACTGTAACATGATAAATAAGAGTTGGTATATTTTAATCGTAGAATGAAACGAACGCGTGTATATTGATTTTTGAAATCGATCATTTCATATGCGACAATCTAATAATAATCACGCGAATGAAGCACGATAAAAAGAAAAAGAAGTAAAAAAAAAAAAAAAACAAGATATCTTTTTTCCACGAACAGCAAGATTTTCTATGTGTATTCATATGGCAGGTCGTTTTCGAACGTCTTCAAGAAGAAATTGCCACGCTCGGGCGCTATCATTCTGTGATCCAATGAAAAAATTAATTAATTAATTAATTAATTAATTAATTAATTAAATCTCATACCGAGAAAAAGTGAATAATGTTCTTTCGAGGAATCTTACTCTGTATATATATTGTATTATTATATATCTCTACCTTTTTTAAATTGGGACACCGTGTATTTATTAAGAAGAGAAAACTAGAAGAAGAAAAAGGGAGGAGAGAAAGACAAAAAAAAAAAACAGCCAAAGAAATCATATGAATGAAAGAAGAAACAAGTGGTGTCTCCACTTTTTGCATTTTGCGCGATTCCAACTTTTTGTATGCTCTTGCAAAGCTGGAAGAGAATGAGAGCGAGAAAAAGTGACAAAAGTACGTATGAAAATATGAGAGAACGACTTAAAGTAGAAGAAAGTGTAAATTGAGTTATGAGAGAAGTGAATTCAAAAAAGGAAAAAAAAAAAATAAAAAATAAAAAATAAAAATAAAAAAAGAAGAGAGAAAATTAAACGAAGCGATTTGGTTCGATTGAATGTTGAGTGAAAGTGCCTTTTGCGATGTGTTTCGTAATTCCGTGTAGCTTTTCGGTATTGAAGGGAACCAATTGCTTTCGTTTAACTTAATACGTATAGCGTTTCCACTTGCGACGCGATCACGATGAAATTGGGAATTGTATCGATAATATTTATCAAAGATTCAACGACGGAAGATGGAACGTTTAATTTTTCTAATTTTGTAAGTTTCGATCGATACATCGATCGTTATGCATATTATTTTTTTGTTACGATATATAGGATGTTTTACAACGAATGATACAAATGATATTTAGGATTTAAAAAATTTTCTTTTACCACTTTGAAGTTTTTGAAACATCCTATATATATTTAAAAAAATGAACCAATAATTATCATAATATGAATTGCCTGGAATCTTCAAAGGATTTTAATAAAAACGATTCTTTGAAAAATAATTTAAATAATTATTGCTTCATATTTTTATATTTTTATCTTTAAAAATTATTTACTTATTATTAAGATTAATGATTCAAATTGTAAATCGATT